ATCGTGCATGTGATTCATTCGATCGGACATTCTGTCTGTCCGTTTGTTGTCGGCCCTTATTCAATTGTTCGTTTTACTCACTCCTTTGAGCCCCTATTCTCCAGGGATTTGAACCCTTGACCTCAGCCTTGTCTCTTATCTCGAGACCTCCTATCTTTTGTAGTCTATCTACTGCAGCTAGGTACTGAAACTCAGTATATCACACCAGTTTGGCTAAAACAGCCAGTCTGGTCCTAAAAAATGTGACAAGCTGGTTCTGACCCAGCTACCGGTCTGTGTTGAATGCAGTACTTTGGGACATCTTGTATTATTCCCTACTGGATTGTACACAATATTGATATCCCACTTGTATAGGGTCATTCCCTTTCCATGTGGATATAGATTGTCCAGCAGACTTGCGTTGAATCCTGACATCATGATGAAAGTCCAATCGTGCGTGTCAAAACGTTGTACTTGAATAGTTTTTCTTGGAATGTAAAAACTCATATTTTGTTATATCCCAAATAATAATAACTGAAACATTAATCCATTAAATGCTATTTAGTGCATACGATTGCCGGTGGAATAATTGGCTGTGAAGGTCAAGTACCGTGAAGCGACAAGTCAACAACTAGTTTGAACCATTGGAGGCATCTGGTGGACAGAAGTTGCTCTAGCTAAGATCAAAAGGATCCCAACTCTACCCGCAACAAGGCGGGGTGATTTTGGGGCGTTGATTCCTTGAAACGGGTGAAGGGGCCAGGGCCGGGTGGAAGAAGCGGTGAAGGGTATGGCATTGAGGCGCCAGGGCGCGGCAGTAGGCCGTGCGTTCCATTCTGACCAGCTTCAGCCACTCTCCTTCCCTATCGACTAGCGGCTTGTTCAACACTGTTCTGCGTTTCATGACAAGCATGCGTTGGACTACCTTGGGGAGGCCGGTTGGGCCCATATCAAACTGAGAGTGCATACCATCGTTCACCAAGCGGCTATGTTCGCGTGACTGTACATTGTCCTCCAAATGTTGCACCAAGTTCTGGTGTTCCCACATATGAAATCCAAGCAAGATCAGCTGATGCAACAGGCGAGAGACCCAAAGGTTTGGAGAGCGTTGGCTCCCTTGTGACTGAAGGTACTGTTCCTGCAGGGCCACTCACTGAACAGACAGCAGGCCTTCCAGTAAACCTTGGTAGCCGATGTGTCGTTGGGAGAGGAAGGCGCTGCAAAGACGGGCCGGGACCACCCCGCTGGACGGTATGGACGGATCACGAACCCCTTGAACAAGCGTGTTTGATGGCTGGGTGAAGAGAAGCGTGTTACTGACAACAATGAAGCGCAACACATGGCTGATGAGATTGAGGCAAAACAAATTGCCAAACGAGAAGCTCGCAGGAGTGGGCATTACAACAGCATTGTTCCAAACTTGTTGGAGTGGTGGATGCAGAATCTATATTCAGGAGATACTGTCGACAAAGCATTGGAACGCCATGACCGTATCCATACGGGTAACGCGCTTTTTATTGCATGGCAAGAACGTTTTCCGGGCGCTTGCAACCAACCTTGCCTGCGGTATGACGATCCGTTTAACAATAACACAGGGACAGCAACTTGTGAAGATCGTTTTGCCCGCATTTTCACATCGATGAATTTGGATAACAGTCAATTGACAAAGTATCTCATTGCCGCATTTGACACTGAAACAATGGAAGTGAATCCATCTGAAAAAAATTGGTCTTTACGCATCTTGGCAATGCGGATTTCTTTACAAAATCCGTTTTCCTTTTTTGGTATTGATGAGTTTGAAGCTAAACAAGATGACAACCATTTCTTTTCAGGCAAACTGACCAATCCACGTCTACGCTTGGAGCATCCCTTGGTGGGCTTTTGGTTAATTTGCTCCGAGTTGTTTGACTATCCCTGGATTAATGAGTTTCTGTTGGAGTATTACAACGATCCGCCATCCGCAATTGTCGACGCAATCAAACAAACAAGAAGTAGCAAGTCTATCAACAATGCTCCAAACCGAGAATCAGTGAAGGAACCTTGTATTCAAAAAATATACGATCCAATGTATTCTATTGACGAACCAGGTTGGATGTTCAACGCAATTCCGCCAGCTTTGCAGGGGACCAGGTGCAAAACTCAAATCGCTTTGCATCTCTACAAAGTGACAATGACTCGTCCGACGGTAGTGGAATTCAAGAATTCGACGAGGTTGAAGTGGTGGCGGTGCAACAGAATCACCCCAAGGCGCCTGAGTTGTTGGATGAAGATGAAGACACTGACGCTGATGACACTGACGACAGGGAGAACATTGTGGACGACGCAATGGAGGAAGACGATGATGATGAACGGGTCAATAGCAATGGGGCTAACCCGCACAATGAGGTCATGGACGTCAACACTCCACAGTTGACTTCCCATAACCTTCCGGCAACACAACACTCAGCAGGTACAGGGACCCTTCTGAATTCTATGGAGGAAGCCATCAACAATTCCCCTAATGAATTGAAGCTTCTTCCGATCTCTGATACCACATATAAGCAACAGAATCTTTGGATTCAAAACTCAATAGATTTACATAATCGCATTTCAACTTATTGTGCTCTGTCAACTTACTGTGATATGGAATACGGGAACTGTCCCTACGCGGCAACCAACAGCAAGCCAGGCAAGAAGAAACTACGCACACGCCTTCGCGTCGTCTTCTTGTCTGAGGCTCCGGTCGAGGCCGTCCAAGACTATCTTCATACCGGATTACGTCAATTGGGGAGAGGCGCTGGGTGCTACCCTTCTCCGTTGCAGTATGGAGAAATTGTGAAGATTGGATCATGCTCGTTTATTCCTGCAGAAGTCAACTTCTCAGCTTATGCAATGGAACTGATGAGACTATTTGATTCTGAAGTACCAATTGGTATCAAGATGGACTGGGTTTCTATTCCGTATACGGGCCAAGCAAAGTACAATAAACGGTCCCCCGGAGTGACTAGTCCACATTGTTTCACTTGGAGGATTCATGCGAAGAGAGTTGATTGCACTTTGAGGTCAATTCTCCACCCAGCAACTGCAAAACCTGACTTTCCATTTGCAGAGCGTGTGAATTCTTTATGGATTTAGGGAAGATCTTTGAATATGTTGATGGAAGAGCAATGTAAAGTAGATGAATTAAAAAGTTGTGATTACGTTTGGGCGAGACATCATTTGAGTTGACTCGCCGTTATTGCTTATTATTGGTTGGCTTGCGCGTAACGCATCTTCGAGTCAATTAGTTCGACTGTCATTCTCGGTTACTTTCCACACTCCCTCTTGAGTGCGGGCATTACCAACCTATAAGGAGTCGTCGCAAATATTCGAATGTGGGCCCATCAAGTGGTTTGGTGCCAATGTCGGCTAACTGTTCTCCTGTGTCGACATGTTCGAGGTTCATCAGACCGTGTGCAACTGCTTCGCAAAAATGATGATATTTGATGTTGATGTGCTTCGTTCGGGGCCGTAGCTTTGGCGCTTTTGCCAGTTTGATGGCTCCTTTGTTATCTTCAAAGGCCGTGCACTTGATGACCGGTTTGGTATAGCAAAAGGATTTTATGCGTTTTGCAATCTCTTTGAAGAATCTCATTTGTACCAGGACGGTCCGTAGTGATTGTGAAAGGCAGATATATTTGGCTTCAGTAGTGGATAGTGCGACTTCAGTTTGGAGTTTACTGTGTGCAAAGATCATGCAATTGTTGAACATGATGAAGTAGCAGGACCGTGATTTTGCAGTGTTTGGATCAGCGGTGTGTTCCTTGACGAATCCGCCAGCAAAGTCGGCATCGGCATAGGCCACCTACATCAGTGATTGGAAGTCGGCACAACAAGGATTGGTGAGTGTCAAGGCCTACGGTCCGGTGAAGGATGTGATCCTGACCTTGATTAGCAAGTTACAGGATTACTACATTTTGACGGAGGTTCTTTATCCAGGCATCAACTTCACGGGAATGTTCAAGTTTGCTACTACACGGTTGTACGGTTCTTGCACCCTGTTCAAACTGCTCTTGTCTATCAAGGCCACTCCGGCCCAGGCTGATCAAGCTTCCACAGCTGCCAAAGACAAACCCCCTCCAACAACTGCCGACAATGACTCATCTGAAGGGGAGGACGATGAATCTCAGGAGGGAGCAGGTTCTCTGTCCGGCCCATTCACGAAGGTGACAAAGAAGAAGGTGAAGAAGAAGAAGACAAAGAAGAAGTCGCTCCTCTCCAATAACATAGAGAATCATTTTCTCAAAGATCTATCCCCGGCACAACGCAAGCCGGCTGAAGCCAATGACCGCAAACTGCAGAACAATATTGATCGCCATAAAGCAGGACCACTCTTCTTGATGATCCTTCCTGGAGAAATGGAGGGCTATGTTGCAAGAAGTACGGTCAGTTAGCTCAAAACGTGTTGAGAGGGATAGTTCCGTTCTTGATTCATCACCTGTGCGAACTTACCGATATGCAAGCTGATCAAGTCTTGGGTAAATGGATTCCCAAATCAGAGATCCAGGCGACGCGTTGTAAGTGTTTGGTATGGTGCACCAGCACATTACGCGCTATTGAGGCTTCCAATCAGTCGACCAAGGTGGAGGAAGCTCTGGAGTTTTTGGACAATGTGATTGAAGACACCACCAATGTCTACCAAGGTCAACTCTTGATGGATATGGATATGGCGAATACCAAGGATATTGACGATGGACAAACGGTCATGGGAATGCTGGATGAAATGCACAAACGTGAACAACAACTGGAGGATGCCTTTGTGGAAATCAAAGCTTGTGACAACGCCTAGGCGGCTAAAGACCAGGCACTGGTTCAGCAGAAGGCCGCGACTGCGGCCCTTCAAGCCCAACTTGACGCTCTGCAACGTCAAACAGCCCACCACTTGGCCATCGACTTGCAACCACCTGCTCAAAACAATGAGGTATCTCCAGATCGGTCCGATTTCACTACGCCACCAAAAAAGAGGAAAAGCAAGGATACTTCCACGACTAAGAGGAGCGTTGACAGGTCTAAGGCTAGTCTTAAGCCGCCAACTAAGTCAACTTGTACCAGCACGTCTGTGCACTTTCAGCAGCCAAAGCAGCGCTCTCGGAATACGTCTCAGGTCCAGGTGGACACAACTCAGATGGAGGGCAAAACTACTACAGCCGTGTCCCAGGACTCCGGGGGTTGTACACCCATTCTTTCTCCCTTCTCCATCTAGCAAATCCGGTACTAGCGGATCTGCTAAGTTGCCTTCTTCGGCCGGCCGCGGAGCACCTCGCTCCGCGGCAGGGCCATGAGAGGCCCCAGGTCGTCTGCCGCTAGGTCACGGCGTGGAGGCAGAAGATCTCGAATTAGTGGCCTGTCAAGTGGTGTTTCCCACGCTTCACTCGACGAATATTTACGCTCTCTTTCACCAGGAGACTGCCTTGGCGACGACCATCGCTGTCGCTCTTCACTAGCTACTCGCGTCACCTTCCAGAATGTTAACGGTGTTCCGGAGGAAGGTGATCATGTGAAACAGCGGCAGATCAACTCCTGGCTGCAAGATGAGCGAGTGGGAAAAGCGTTGTTGGCGGAGGCCAAAACGTTTTGGCCCTCTATCCCAGAGGGCCATTGGTGGAATGATAGGATGCGGCGAGCAACAATGAAGGCAAAGCACAAAGGTTTTTATTCGGCTGTCGCTTATAGTAAACGGCAGGCACGATCTTTGGCAAATACAGTCTTTCAATGGGGAGGATGCATCGCGACAGTGCTTAGTCAGGTCCCGCACCAAGCTAAAGAAGCGAAGAGCGATTCAACGGGGCTGGGACGCTGGGCGTATGTTCGTCTTCAAGGGAAGAAGCTGAAGGCACAGGGGTGTGATGATCACTCCGGCTTGGTGCTCGACGTAAATGAGGCGGTCCGACGCCCGCTTTCGCGTGATCTAGTGGTTATTTTGGCATATAGGCCAAACAGAGAAGGTACTGGGGAGTCAACCGTGTAGTCTATACAACATAAGATTGATCCGCGCAAAGCATTGGTCAATGACTTGTGCAAACAAATTCAAAAGTGGAGGGATGAGGGTTGTGAAGTTTTTCTGGGGATGGGTGCTAATGAAGACCTTTTGGTCAACTCCCCGGACTCAATACGACAGCGGCTTTGTGAGTGCGGAATGGAGGAAGCGATTTTGAAACGGCATCCCCCTACGGCAACTCACCAACGAAATGAAAGCAACGTTCCCATTGACGGAATCTTTACCACCTCAAGTGTTCCGGTTCTGGCTGGTGGCTACTACACATTCGGTGAATTTGTTGAAGCAGACCACAGGGCACTATGGATCAACATCGACTTGAACACGGCTTTGGGCAATTTCACACCCCAGGGGTCTACCTTTAAACCTCGGAAGCTCACCCTTTTGGATAAGCGGTCGGTCAAACGCTATCTTCAACTGGTGCACTTGGGATACGAGGAGTATGACATCCCGTCCTGTCTCACCAAGCTCAATCAGCGCATTGAATCCAATGGATGACAGATGTCACCCTCACGGGCACGCAAATATAACTGCCTTCACCAGCAGATGTATATGGTACGGCGGCATGCTGAAGACAATTGTTGCCCTACCTCATCTGGCAAGGTTCCTTGGTCTCCCAAATTGCAGGGCTTCTGGGATCGGTTGAGTCTCTGGAAGCTACTCCTTAAAGGACGCAAGCGATGCCGCATGAGCTCCCAAAAGGTCCGGCGCCTGTTGAAGAAGACAAGGCTATGCAACGAGTGGAAGAAGATGACTGATGAACTGGAAGAGGCATTGGCAGCTGAACGTAGGGCATACAAGCAAGCCAAACGTCAGGCAACCCAATTTAGACGGGACTTTCTTATGGCTCAGACAAAGGATGTAAAGAAGAAGAAATGGAAATCGCAGAAGGCCCACAATAGATTCCTTCGGTTACAACAAATGAAGCAACGAGAGGAGGCGAGACGCCGTTGTCGTGCCCAGGGGTTTACGGGCTATTCAGATTGAAGAGACATTACCAGACGGCACTCAGCAGCTGCGTACTATCACTGACCGTGCTCTGGTTGAAGAAGGTTGTATGCAAGAAAATGCGGCATGGTACAACCAGAGAATACTTTGCGATCCGATGATCGGTTCCGTTCCACGTGTTCTGTTGGGAGAAGTCTCGGGCATTCCAATGTGAGGTCGAATTCCTGGTTGAAGAAGTTGGAAATGACCGCATTCCTGTAGAACTGAGCGACCAGCTTGGCTTTTAGGATGAATGGTAATCCATAAAGTGTGTTGATCGGAAGGTCGTCCGTCAGTCCTATCATCAAAGTGTGATTCTCTCCCTGTTTGTTTTCAAAAGGAATGAAGTATTCAATGATGACGTCAATTTCTACACTGTCTTTGATTCCCCCGATCTTGATTGGAGCGTAGCGGATCTTCTGGAGGTCGAAGATCTGTTTGACGAGGTGCGGATGTTGTTTTGCGATGGCCAGGTGGTAGTCTTTCTTGCCCATGTTGCAGCATCCTCTGGTGTCGTAGAGTCCTTTCAAATTGGCTGTGTTGGATTCGTTGAGTCCAATGGGAAAGTTCAAAAATGCCAGCATGTCATTGACCGAGATGTTCAGCTGGTGGGCTTGTTCCATGGCCGCGAAGCTTCCAAAGGTGACGAATGATAGTGCCGGCTGGGTTGACTGCCGTTTCGGTCTTTTCCTTGCTGCTGCTGTGGAAGTGTGGGCCGTGACCGCTTCGACGAGATTCACCAACAGGTTTGTCCTCTCTCCAGATTCTGTCTGTGGATCTTCAATGGCTCAAACTGTATCACAGATTGCTTGGGTCATATATCCTCCTTGTCTATAATGGGAATTATTATTTCTATTTCGATTGCGTTCTTCGTTCTTTCGTTGCTTCCACTGGTCCAGTTTTTCATAGAAACGTTTTAGGACTTGGGGGTCCTCTTTGTGTGGGCAGTCTCGGAAATTGTGTCCTTCCTCGTTGCATCCCCAACAGTGGTTTGGGTATGGCTTGCCGCTTGCCTTTTGCAGTGCTTCTTCCGCTTTGGCTGAGCATTGTCCGCCCATTTTCTTCTCCCTGCTGTTGTCCAAGTTCCTCCATGATACTCATGCACAACGGCATGTTGACAGCCGCTTCCGGGCAGTATAGTTTGCTGTCGGATGTCGGGACCACTAATTGTCTTCCTTGGCCGTCGGTGACTCGAACGTTTTGTTTTGCCGCCCGAGTTGGAGGGGGCATTATTGCGGTGTGGAAGGTTCCCCCAGTCTTGATCTCTGGAGCTTGGAAGGAGCAATCGTCCTGGAATCCCTGGAATCCTTGGAATTCTTGTTGGTGGAATCCTGCGAAGGCTCTTCCTCCTGGTCTTGGTGGTGCAGATCGCCCTGGAACGTAGCTTCTGTTGGGTCTGATCCGTCCCGCGCTGTTTGCAATTCCCACAATTTGCTTGATGCGCTTCTCGTCCTTCTCAGCTCGTTTGCGTAGGTGGTGCATTTGAGACAGGTTGCTGGGGTAGTCCATAAGTAGTGGTCCTGCTGCTCCTGTCTCTAGGTGTTCAGCCACAATGTCCTTGATTTCTTGTGTGAAGGCTTGGAACGCTACTCCTGCCAAGTCTGATAGGTTGGTTGGTGGGGGATTCTCGTGGTTGAACCTGTTTAGAATCGTGGCGATTCTGCCAAATAAAGTAGCCACGCTGTCGTACGTCATCGTGCCCCCTTCGTATCGGATCATGTTGAGCTTTGCCAATTGTTGGTTTGGCGTCTCCATTCCTTGTTGTAGTCCGACGTAGGTGGCCGTGAGTGCTTGTTCGAGCGCTTAGAACTGGGTCTTTGCAATCTGTTGCTTGGTCCATTTTTTGTAGGCTTTGTTGCTGGGTTCTCCGTCTCTGGTCGCGGCTCTCATTGAGAACTCTTCTCCCAATGCTGCCATTGCTGCAATGACTTCCTTGTGATGTGCTTGGTCCGTTACCATTTGGCGAGTGATGGATACGTCCATCTGGTTCTGGACTCTTGGCACTGGAACGTAGACAGCTCTATTGGAAGATGGTGGGAACTTTGTTGGTTGATTCCAATGTCCATTTGTAGGGAACAGAGCCGTGGGACCAATCGGAGCTCAATTCTGAAGTATGTGGCAGCAGCTCTAAATGGGGCTGGAAGTCCTGGTCCCGGTCCTGTAGAGCGTGGTGGTAAATGACATGCCGTTAATCCGATTACGGTCTGAACAACAAAACAGAGAAGCTCATGCTATTTTGACATCGGGTATACGGATCCCGCTCCTATTTGACAAGCCAATTTCCTATTTTACATGTCGCCAACCTACCGATGAAGAGGTCAGCGATATAAT